GATGGCTAAGGAAGGGGAGGGGGTGTGTCATATTGTTTAGTCCACAGACTGTGTGTGTGTGTGTGTGTGTGTGTGTGTCGCACACAGGGTGGTGAAATGCGTCTAGTGTGGCAGCACTATGTCAGTGTTAAGGTGCAAACACTGCTTGCTCCTTCTTGCTTTCAGGTGCCGCCGATGGCTAGCCCTCATAGCGAACAGGGAAGCAACTTGCATAAGTCTTCCCCTGCCAGTACACAGCCTCTTCACCGTCAAGACTCCTGCTGTGCCTCCTCGTGGCAACACACGGTAACTGGGTGCCTCGTGGGCCCAGGCTAGATCAGCAGGGGATCTCGGAGTAGCAGTGAGCCCCAGATGAACGGCGCATAGGTCCACTGGCATGTGGACACGTCCTGGCGCCTACCAACCACCGCCCCTCAGCCTTGCGGATTTACCTTGGCAGGTATAAGACTGCGGGAGTAAACCCCAAGCGAAAAATCTGCTGTGGAACCACACATCAGGGATACATGCCTACAGAGTTCCAACAAGACCCCAACGGCTGTGTAGGCGAAAGAGGTGACCACCGTGGAAACCCAACGATTATACCGGCGGACGAAGGCAATGCCTGTTGGACAGGCGAAACCAAGGCGAAACCCAACAAATTGGGCTATCGGCAGTCCATTGCGACTCTCCCTCTCCCCAGTCGTTGCAACACTTGCACCACTGGATCAGGAAAAGGGAGAGCCAAGAAGTGTGGTTGCAGCCTGCTCACCTGGCTCACCACATAAATCAACTCACGCACAGCCATCATCCAGTTCATCATAGCTCTCATCATCATCAAAACCCCTATACCCCCAAAAGTCCTATGGCGACGGACGAGTGGCGAAGGGGACAGGGAGAGATGATTGCCGGGAGTCTCTAGTTACAACTCTGCACATGGGCGGCACAGATAAGATGGTCGTTTATGCACTGAGATCTAGGCAGCAGTGCAATCCGGTCCTGTCTATGCGACTGAATAGCCCTTTTAAGGAGCCACTCTGCTCACCCCACATGGGAAGGGGACTAGAAAAGGTGCCCTAAACATAGTCTGCCTAAACACAACCTGACTGGGCAACCGCACCCAGTAAGGTCATCCTTATTCGGTCGAAAATACAACTAAAATCACAGATCCTATAAAAAATAAACCATACAACCTCTTATGGTCGGTACATGGAATATAAGGACTCTTCTGGATACTGGTACAAATGCGCTTCCTGAAAGAATTGCCCTTGTGGCAAAAGAGCTGAGTAGGTATAACATCGACATAGCAGCCATCAGTGAGTCCCGGCTCCCAGATGAGGGCCAACTCTCATGGTCTGGCTACACCTTCTGGAAGAGTAAGCCAGCTGCGGAGAGAAACCGCATTTATGGAGTTGGCTTTTCCATGAGCCAACGCAGCCTACACAGGCTAACTGAAATGCCTATTGGGATCAACGAGTGCCTCATGACGCTTAGAGTCCCACTGAATCACTCACGTCATGCCTTCTTCATCAGTGCATACGCCCGAGCACTGGATGCCTACCTCGACAGAGTGCTAACCTCTATCCCCAGAGAAGACAAGGTTCTGCTCCTTGGCGACTTCAATGCCAGAGTTGACAGAGATGCTGACATTTAGCAGGGAACCATAGGGAGAAATGGACTAGGCAAGTGTAATCCCAACGGCCTACTCCTCCTCAGCAAGTGTGCTGCACACAACCTCACTATCACCAATACCTTGTTTAGGCAGGCCGACAAGTTCAAGGGTTCGTGGCAACACCCACGATCCAAACACTGGCATCTCATTGACTATATCATTGTCAGAGAAGGAGATCGCCGAGATGTCCTCATCACCAGTGCAGTGCATGGCTCAGACCACTATGACACTGATAATCGACTTGTCAGATCCAAGCTCTCACTTCACGTCTCCCCAAAACGGCGAAAGCAGCAAATCTCCAGAAGAAGTTTTAATACTAAGTGACTGTATTATCCAGCGGTAGCACATGCTTTAAGAGAGCAGCTCGAACATGGGCTTATAAACAACCCAACAGCAAAAAACGTGAATCCCGATGCCGAATGGGATACTCTTAATACTGTTATGACAAAAACCTGCAGACAGACCCTCAGCCAGATCAAAAGAATACACCAGGACTGGTTTGATGAAAATGACCCGGCAATCAAAGTACTCATCGATAATAAACGTGCTGCTTTGACTGACTGTTAGAACCACCCTCAGTCTCGAACTAAAGCTGATACCTTCCGCAAGAAGAGAGCAGAAGTCCAGCGAGAACTTCTCAAGTTAAAGAACGACTGGCTTAAAAATAAAGCATGTGAAGCACAAAAACTTGCAGATCAGCACAAGATGCGCGATTTTCATTTCCACTAAAACATTTTTTGGGCCAGTCACCCGTGGCGCATCCCCCCTCCGCTCATCTTTAGGTAACCTTATAATTAAAGACGCTGAAGGCCTCCTTCAGTGCTGGAAAGAGCACTACCACTTATTGCTCAACCGTAACACCTATGTGGATGTCCTGACTACCCAGCAGGTCTCTCAGCATACAGAGCTGTCCCACCTCAGCTATCCTCTATCCCTGGATGAGGTAGCTACTGCCATCAACTAGATGAAAAATAACGAAGCCTCAGGGCCTGATGGCATCACAGCCGAGATGTCTAAAGCAGGAGGACCTTTGCTTACCAGCAGCCGTCTCCACTCTCTCCTGGAGAATATATGGGAAAAGGAGGAAATCCTCCAAGCACATCAAGACGCCTCCATTGTCAATATTTATACGAACAAGGGAGACCGGTAAGACGGTGGCAACTACCGTGAGATCTCGCTACTCTCCGTAGCTGGCAAGATTATCACCCGAGTCCTCCAAAACAGACTTCTTCCTGAGGCGGGAAGCTTCCTCCCAGAATCTCAATATGGTTTTAGACCATCACGTGGCACCACTGACATGATCTATGCTGCCCGACAGATACAGGAAAAGTGCAGAGAACAGCATCGTGACCTATATATAGCTTTCATCGACCTAACCAAAGCCTTCGACTGAGTCACCATGGAAGTCCTCTTGTGGACCCTCAACCGTTTTGGCTGCCTACCAAAATTCATCGCCATTGTGAGGCAACTCCACAATGGCAAGAACGGCAGTGCCCTGTACATTCGCCACCCAGTCAGAGTTCCTCCCCATCCAACCAGGGGTTACTCAAGGGTGTGTACTGGCACCAACTCTTTTCTATCTTTTTGGCTGCCTTCCTTACTCGTGTCAGTGCCAATTTAGCCTGCGGGGTGAACATCGAGTACCGGGTGAAGGGGGACCTTTTCAACATAAGGCGACTCCAGGCAAGAGTAAGAGTGTCGGCAGTTTCCAGTACTAAACTTCAGCATGCAGACGACCTCACACCTTGTTGCTCATACTGAACACGACCTACAGGAAATCCTGAGCACCTACGCAGACGAGCATGCACACTTCGGCCTTTAGGTGAATGAACATAAGACTTAGATTCTCTTTCAACCTGCCCCTGGTTCAGACACACCACCACCATTCATCCAGCTTAACGGTACTACCCTCTCTAATGTTACCCACTTTCGGTATCTCGGCTCCCACTTGTCCACCACCGCAGACATCGATGAAGAGATTCAGCATCGGATCAGATGTGCGTCTGAAGCCTTTGGCAGACTCCGAAATCGTGTCTTCAGCTGTATGGAGCTGAAATTATCTACAATGCTGAACGTATATTGTGCAGTGGTCCTCCCCACCCTGCTATATGGAAGTGAGACATGAGTCACATACAGGAGGCACCTCAAGGCACTTAAATACTTTCAGCAACGTAGTCTACGTTCCATCCTCCGAGTTCGCTTGGAAGACAAGAGAACAAATGCCAGTATTCTTGCCGACACCAACTGTAGGAGCATCAAGGCTACCTTGATGAATGAACAACTACGCTGGACTGGCCATGTTACTTACATGGACGACAGTAGACTGCCAAAGTAGCTACTTTACCGTCACCTAACGAAGAGTAAACGTGACGCGGTCGGGCAATTGAAAAGGTATAAGGTTAGTCTTAAGACAAACCTGAAATAGTGTCAAAGCGACCCCCCTTCATCTGGGAGTCGATTACTCCACATCGTAACGCTTGGAGGAGCACCACAGAGGAAGGTTGTCAATACCATAGAGTTAGCCCGACTGAAAACCGAAGCAGGCCCAACACCGGAAAGACGCTGTCACCGCCCCTTCTGCAGTAGATGGAGTCCTCCACATGTACAACGAATGTGAACGACGCTGCTCGTCCCGTATCGGTCTCTTGAGTCACCTCAAAACTCACAAACCGAGGTGACATCCTTAATACTTCATATCATATTATCATAGCTGGATGATCGTCTTACTCGATTCCGAGTGACAGCAAAGTAGTAGTAGTGTGTGTGTGTGTGTGTGTGTGTGAGTTAACTAATGCACTGTTCTGTGAGTTAGTTACTGTGACAGGTAATTCACTAGTCCACTATTCAGTAAGATTACAGAGGGTAAATATTCCTTTTATAACTCGTAATATTTAATATTTTATCTCCTAATTATACACATGACTATTATATTCTTCTCTACGAGCAGCTGAGAAGAGAAGAGAAGAGAAGAGAAGTTGTGATAATAAGTAGTATAGGGAGATGGAATTATTTTTTGTAAAACTTGGTTATATTAATTATCCAACCTAATATAATTCTTCTTTATTTTTTTGAGGGACTTGTCATTATTCATCGTCCTGTCTATATTATTTAACTTAATGAGTAAAAAGAAATGGCAAATATACATCATTCCTATATACTTCGATATACCACAAGAATATAGTCATATACTTCTAAAAGATCGAGATTAAAAGTATACTTATAAATATAACTTAAAGTTGAATTATTAGGAAGGTATACATGGAGGTGTTTGTTCCTGTTTTATATAGCGAGGTGTGGACACTCTGGATCCTGAGTCACCAACGTATATAAAGTGGGAGAATGGCACAGGTGAGAGCAGTGGTTCGCTAAGAGCAGGTAAGGTCAGGTTAGTCGGCCTCAGTGCATTGATAGATTGCGTTTATTATTATTATTATTATTAATATTATTATTATTATTGTTATTATTATTATTATTATTATTATTATTATTATTATTATTATTAACGTTGTTGTTTTTATTCAGTGTACCATGTAATAATAATAATAATAATAATAATAATTGACGGTTTATTGAAAAAGTTCTGCAGCCCGAAGGCTGAAAATATACATTGGACATAAATGACTTATTACATACATTGGTGGTTTAGCAAAAGCCTTCATTAGAGAAAGGTAAAGGAACATACAGTGAACATACAGATTATTGTAGGTGTTGAACAGCAAAAACGTAGTGTAGTAACTCCCTCCCAGATGGTGTTAGGAGGGACCTCACGTGGTGTAGTAGTTCCTTCACAGATGGTGTTATGAGGGGCCTCACGTGGTGTAGTAATTCCCTCACAGATGGTGTTATGAGGGGCCTCACGTGGTGTAGTAATTCCCTCACAGATGGTGTTATGAGGGGCCTCACGTGGTGTAGTAATTCCCTCACAGATGGTGTTATGAGGGCCTCACGTGGTGTAGTAATTCCCTCACAGATGGTGTTATGAGGGGCCTCACGTGGTGTAGTAATTCCCTCACAGATGGTGTTATGAGGGGCCTCACGTAGTGTAGTAATTCCATCACAGATGGTGTTATGAGGGGCCTCACGTTGTGTATTAATTCCCTCACAGATGGTGTTATGAGGGGCCTCACGTGGTGTAGTAATTCCCTCACAGATGGTGTTATGAGGGGCCTCACGTGGTGTAGTAACTCGTTCACATATGGTGTTATGAGGGGCCTCACGTGGTGTAGTAATTCCCTCACAGACGGTGTTATATGAGTGAGGTGTGGTTCCAGGCCTTCCTATCGTAGACGGATTAACACATCGCTGGTTGTTGGGTCTCACAGGCCGTTATCACTGGGTACCTGGGACCTCACTGTGTGAAGGTCAACTTGGGTACCACTGTTACTGTTGAGTTGTTCTCACTGACTTAAGCACTGTTCACCACTGTTCACCTCTGTTTAACACTGGTTCCATTCCTTTCCTAAATGAAATAGTAACTTCTGGCGAGAACATGTTGACATTCCGGTGGGGAGGAGGGTTCAGGGGAGGGAGTTGGTATGGGCCAACATAACAGTTGACCTGGCTGCTCCGAGAGGAGCGCCAGATACGTCTTGACCCTTCGGTGGTCAAGGATATACATGTGCATGTGTGACAGTTTAATACCATATCGTTTTTTCGACAAGGGGAAAGAAGAGTCATCATTTGTGTATATTCTCACATATATGTACAGTATACACTCAAGTAACCTTACAGACACACATTCATTTGCCTCCATCTATAACGGCTACAGTGACTGGCGTGTTTTGTGAGATGTGGCACAACTGTTTGTTTACGTCGCAAAACTACCTGACCAAAGATACTAAACAAACAACTCCCTCACCCCCTCCCCCACTCTATCTGTAAATAATGATATATAACGTGGTTTAAGGTGACCCATGCACGCTGACGTGGTTTTGGTGAAGGTTGGAGCCCAGTGTTCTGATACTGGTGTAGTTGAAAGGCAATATAGTGTTAAAGAAGCTGTGCCACATCTTACAAAACATGGAGGCAACTGTACACGTGATAAATGGAGGCCAGTGTGCACACACACACACACACACACATACACACACACACATACACATGCACACTACTACTACTGCTACTTTGTTGTCAATCGGAGTGCAGTACGACGATCATCCAGCTATGATACAATGATATGAGTTATTAAGGATGTCACCTAGGTTGGTGAGTTTTGAGGTGACTAAAGAGGCCGATACGGGTCCCGCAGGGTCGTCCCCATTCCTTGCACATGTGGAGGACTGCATCTAGTTTGGGAGAGGCCGCGGCAGCGTCTTTTCGGCGTTGGCGCTTGTCTGCCTCGGTTTGTAGTCGGGCTAACTCGAAAGTATTGACACCTTTTCGTGCGGTGCTCCACCAAGCGTTACAATGTGGAATAATCGTCTCCCAGGTGAGGGGGTCGATTTGGCACTTTTTCAGGTTTGTCTTAAGACTATCCTTATACCTTATCAATTGCCCGCCGGCGTTACGTTTACTATGCATTAGGTGGCTGTAAAGTAGCTGCTTTGGCAGTCTACTTGTTGTCCATGCGGGTAACAAGGCCAGTCCAACGGAGATGTTCATGGATAATGGTAGCCTCGATGCTCCTAAAGTTGGTGTCGGCAAGAATACTGGCACTTGTTCTTTTGTCTTCCCAGCGAACTCGGAGGATGGAACGTAGACTACGTTGGTGAAAGTGTTCAAGTGCCTTGAGGTACCTCCTGTATGTGACCCACGTCTCACTGCCATATAGCGGGGTGGTGAGGACCATTGCTCGATATACATGCAGTTTTTTAGATAATTTCAGCTCCCTACAGCTGAAGACACGGTATAAAATTCCGCCAAAGGTTTGAGATGCACACCTGATCCGATGCCGAATCTCTTCATCAATGTCTGCAGTGTTGGACAGGTGGGAACCGAGATACCGAAAGTGGGTAACAGAGAGGATAGTACCGTTAAGCTGGATGGATGGTGGAGGTGTGTCTGAACCAGGGGCAGGTTGAAAGAGAATTTGAGGTTTACATACATTCACCTCAAGGCCAAAGTGCGCATACGCATCTGCGTAGGTGTTTATGATCTATTGTAGGTCGTGTTCAGTGAGAGCAGCAAGGGTGAGGTCGTCTGCATACTGAAGTTCAGTAATGGAAGCTGCCGTCCCCTTTGTTCTTGCCTGGAGTCGTCTTATGTTGAAAAGACCCTTCATCCGGTACTCCATGTCCTCCCCGCAGGCTAAATTAGCACTGGCACGAGTAAGGAAGGCAGACAAGAAAATGGAAAAGAGCGTTGGTGCCAGTACACACCCTTATTTAACTCCTGTCTGAATGGGGAAGAACTCTGACTGGGTGCAGTTGTGCAGGACACTGCCGATCATGCCATCGCGGAGTTGCCTCACAATGGCAAAGAATTTTGGTGGACAGTCAAAACGGCTGAGGGTCCACCAGAGGGTTTTCCTGTTGACCGAGTCGAATGTCTTGGTTAGGTCGATGAAAGCCATGTACAGGTCACTACTCTCTTTTCTGCACTTTTCCTGTATCTGGCGGGCAGCAGAGATCATGTCACTGGTACCACGTGATGGTCTAAAACCACTTTGAGATTCTGGGAGGAAGTTTTCCGCCTGAGGAAGGAGTCCGTTTAGGAGGACTCGGGCGATAATCTTGCCAGCTAGGGAGAGCAACGAGATACCACGGTAGTTGCCACAATCTGACCTGCCTCCCTTGTTCTTATAGATATTGACAATGGAGGCGTCTTTAAGAGCTTGCGGCATTTCCTCCTTTTCCCATATATTCTCGAGTAGATAGTGGAGACAGCTGGTAAGCAGAGGTCCTCCTGCTTTATACACCTAGGGTGGGATGCCATCAGGCCCTGAGGCTTTGTTATTTTTCATCAGTTTGATAGCAGTAACTACCCCATCCAGGGATGGAGGATAGCTTAGGTGGGTCAGCTCTGGATGCTAAGGGACCTGCTGGGTATTCAGGACATCCACATCGGTGTTTCGGTTGAGCATTGAATAGTAGTGCTCTTTCCAGCGCTGAAGGAGGCCTTCATCGTCTTTAATTATAAAGTTACCGTCAGATGAGATAAGGGGGGCTGCGCCACGAGTGGTTGGCCCATAAAATGTTTTGATGAAATTTAAAATTTCAAGCATCTTGTGCAGATCTGCATTTTTTTTTTTTTGTATTTCACATGCTATATTTTTAAGCCAGTCACTCTTTAGAATGCAAAGTTCCCGCTGGGCTACCGCTTTCTTCTTGCGGAAGGTATCATCTTTGGTCCGAGACTAAGGGTTGTTCTGCTAGTCAGTAAAAGTGGCACGCTTATCATCGATTAGTACTTTGATTGCCGGGTCATTTTCATCAAAGTAGTCCTGGTGTATTGTTATGATCTGGCCGAGGGTCTCTACGGGTTTTTATCATAACAGTGTAGAGAGTTTCCCAATCTGCACTGGGATTCGCGTTGTTTGCTGTTGGGTTGTTTATAAGCCTATATTCGAACTCCTCTCTCAGAGCATGTGCTACTGCTGGATTCTCTAGACGCTTAGTATTAAAACCTCTTCTGGAGGCCTGCTGCCTTCATCGGTTTGGGGCGACGTGAATTGACAGCTTGGCTCTGACTAGTCGATGATCAGTATCACAGTGGTCTGAGCCATGCATGGCACGGGTGATGTGATGAGGACATCTCGGCGAAGTCTGTATCTGACAATAATGTAGTCAAAGAGATGCCAGTGATTGGATCGTGGGTGTTGCCACGAACCCTTAAACTTGTTGGCCTGTCGAAACAAGGTATTGGTGATAGTGAGGCTGTACGTAGCAAACATGCTGAGGAGGAGTTGGCCGTTGGCATTACACTTGCCTTGTTCATTTCTCCAGGTGGTTCCTTGCCAAATGTTTCCATCTCTGCCAACTCTGGCATTGAAGTCGCCAAGAAGCACAACCTTGTCTTTCTGGGGATAGACGTTAGCACTCTGTCAAGGTCGGCGTAAAAGGCCTCCTTTTTGTCATCCTCTGCAACCAGTGTTGGGGCGTCTGCACTGATGAAAAAGGCATGACGACAGTGATTCAGTTGGACTCGAAGCGTCATGAGGCGCTCGTTGATCCCAATAGGTATTTTAGTTAGCCTTTGTAGGATGTGTTGGCGGATTTCAAAGCTAACGCCATAAATGTGGTTTCTCTCTGCAGCAGGCTTACCCTTCCAGAAGAAGGTATAGCCAG